CTGGAGAAACTGACCACGTGACAGTATTACATTCATATTAGTACTGACCCATAAGCTTCATTTAACACTTTTTATAAGTGTAATATACCTTACGAAGCTTATCTACCCGGTGTGCAAGAGCATCTTTGTATACAGTGTATACCCGGTGTATAGGAAGCTATACATGTATACTCTAAGCGTATACACTGTAGTTATTCTGACTGGATTTGTTCCAGACATGAGGTAGGTGGGTTAGAACGCTGGGGTCCGACTCATTTAATACGTTCTTGCGTTTCCAACATTAAAATCTTTGCTTGATTTCCAAACTATAGAATACCACGCTCATATCGTTATCTGCAGATTAATAATCTTTGGAACTGGATGACCTTATTGAAACGGCTCCTCCGATATGTAGCGTTCATCATATTGATGTATATAAAATGATATCAAGCTGGGACATGTTGGAATACCTCGTGAGACCAATATGAGTAATGCGTGGTATAAAAATGATTAATCTTAGCAATCACTTACACCTATTGTAGTAAATTGTTTGATGATAACGCTCCAGCTATATTACAGAAGTGAATACACTTAGGAGATAAATATTACGTGTTTTAAAATCCGCGGGTGTTCTTGAGATTTCGATGACCAGACATTTCATTTAGAGCTTACGGCGTTAGCAAGAGGTTTCATTTCTTGCAATTTCCGTAATTCCCGTAACACGCTCTCCCTACCTGCGTAATCTCTCACAGTAGTGAGACAGACATGACGTCACGCTGGTATATCATTACGTCATGATACAATGATGACGTCATATACTTCCGCGATAACTTTCCCCGTCTGTGTAGCAGAATGTGGACAAAAGGATTTACATCACATTTGTGCTGATAATAAATATGGATAAAACAATTATTTCATTGGTGTGGTATCCATTTTGCTTGATCGAATTTTACTGGGTTTTATTTTTCAAAATTATTTTTCAAAAATAGTCATACGCAGTGAAATCTCCGATTGCAGCACACATAATCCTTATACAGTTTGTCAAACAAAGATGCTGTTTTCAGATTGAATAGCATTTGAAGAATGTTTAGAAAAATTACACGACACGATACATGCAGAGATGAGTCCATTAGGTGACAGGATCCGCTATTCGTGGGTTCGAATCTCTGATTCGATCCGATTATGATCCTTGTTGTTACAACATTCAAGTACATGTGGGTAACGCCCTGTGTCGCTTGAGGTTTCCGGAGACTCGCTCCGAACAAATCGTGTCAGGAAGTTGTCGCTATTAGTATAAGATATTCTAAACACTGCACACACGCAGGGATTGGCGCTAACCCCTCATTATGAATAATTTACAATCTGAAGCACAAAACTGTTCGTACTGTAAAGATCTGTCCAACAATGGAAGCACCCGGTGTAGCAAGCGGTATCCGACAAACTCCACTGCAACAAAGCTTCTTGGAAATTACACAAAACTCTAGCAGACAGTAACAATGCGACAAAAGCATATTGATAAACAAGTAATTATCTTCATAAATATTTCATATCAGTAACGATTTGATAACCATAATCAACCATACTTTATGTTGCATTTTTCGAAGTCTCTCGCCCATGGTATCGTTTAAGCACACACGTCAATGGCTGGGTCTAGGTATACAGGGCGAACTGTAGTATACGTCGGTGTGTCTAGTCATGCAGGTAGCTCGTTCAGTTGTCAGTCTCATTGATTTTCATCTGTCATTCGTGAGTCTGGAGTCAGGCTATGTTCCCACATGTATTATTTACCCACTATAAACACTGTATATGTCGGTCTTTGAAGTGCTCAGCAAGCTAGCTTTTCAGATGTCGCCTTTTAGCAGAAATGAAGGATTATGATTGTAAATATTTAAGTCACCGAAGTCTGTGGTGTACATTCCTGGTTTTGGAGGTAACCGACAGACTGTACCTGCCCGAGAGTTGATGATGGTGTTGAGTTGCAAGCTGTGAGTATAGATACAGACAGACAGACAGATTGTTTATTTGAGTCTCACCTCACAGAAATAATTACATAAATACATATAAAAGGACATAAAAGTGAGCCACCCGTTAAGGGTTACGAGAGACTTAAAATGTATCACAGTATGTACAGCATAAATATATTGGTGTAAAAGGGGTATGAAAATATACTACCCGTAACTAGCGATATAAAATATTGTTTCTTCGTTGGAGAATTAAAAAGCAGGTTTGAGCTGTAAATTATACATAATATTTAAAAAGTACAATAATAAGTATAGAAACATGTGCCGTGTAGGTAGTTCTGTTCACGCATATAGGTATCTTTATAGAAGTCTTCTCAAGTGTACCGCCCCTTTGATAAATAAAGGTCTAGGTATATAAAGAGCTAGGAAGAGGCACGTTATGATGTTATATGGTGGGATGTTTAACAGCCATGTTTCTACCAGTAGTTGGTACAGAAACTAAGCTGCGACTTACGAGGCGAGTCAGAATTAAATTTACACCCAAATAAATATATACTTTGCAAAATTTTAATTTTGGATTGATAATCAATAGACACCAAGGACGTGGAATGTACTACGGTGAGTGAGTGAGTGAGTGAGTGAGTTGGTGCCACCTGATCATGGATGTTAGTGATTTGATTTTGATATTGCGGATTTGAAAATAAATATAACTTGTGAATCATGATGTAATAAAGATGCTTTAAAAATACTTGTGAAGAGTATTGGTAACGTCGTGAACATTGTTACAACTGTAATAAGTATTGAAAAGGAATTCACATGCTATATATTTGACTGAAATTACTTTCATCCAATCTTGAAGGTAATAATGTTAAAATCTACATAATGAAATATTCATTCGTTTACATTACTTGTGATAGACCTGCGACGTCCTTTTTGAAGAAAAGGCATAAATACATACCGACGCCCGTCAGACTTCAACATTATACGAAGTCATTATGATTCAATTTCAACACAATGAGAGGTATATCTTTCTACCTACCCCAGTGGGCCGGCAGTTGTATATAATTATACTTCCCCCCTATCATTACAGACGTGTCACCAGCCTACAAGTGTATATTGTCAGGCGACACAATAAAGACGAAAGTTTTGACACTGTTACCGAACGTTAGCCATAAACACGTAACACGCTGTTACTGAAGATATTTGAGTTGTACGTTTCTGGGTGTTATCACAATCATAAAAGTGTCCCAACTTAACTTCATTACACGGCGAGCCTAACAGTGGTATTTAACGTTCATCTGTAGAATGCTAATGAGGTGTTGTGACACTGTACGCTTGATTGACGTGTGTACATAGCATAGTAAAGTCATCTATTTCACCCACAGAGGAGTCTTAAGTTTTACGTTTGTCCATTGTGTTACTGGATTGGTGGGCGTGGAACTTAACGTTGGGAGTCGTGGCATTATTTGTAGGGTCAATATACTATTTAGTGGTAACGAGATCGGTTTAAAAGTTCTAATTACATCAGAGGAAACAGTACATTACTTTACATTACTTTATTACGTCACCGGTAGGCAGCATGTGTTGTTTTGTGGTGGTCTAGATGAGATGTTTATCTTTGGAACGAGTGTGCATCAAATCGTGAACTAATTTGTCTATATCAGCTGGGATCGTGATAGTTTGAAGTCTAATGGCATGCCACTTACATTAGCATGGAGAGCTTCTGTGTACTTTGACTGCACATAATTACGTTGAAATAATTATCTAGTCGACAGTTGTCTACAGTGGAAGTACTCCATTACCACTGGACTTGGATTACATATACGTGTAGTGCAACCAGGTACACCATAGCTCATCGGACATGCACGCCATACATTCACAAAAAGGTTTTCAATAAAGGACAAATAATTATATCTTCTCCAACCTGAAATTATTTTCACAAAACCATTCCCCGGCTCTGAAAAAAACCCGACAGTAATAGTTTGTATCAGTTCCCAATTATATCACTCATTTTATGGATGGTAGAAAATTAATATATTATATGTAAGATGTATATTTTATATGTAGGATATATATATTTATATGTAAGATATATATTTTATATGTAAGATGTATATTTTATATGTAAGATATATATATTTATATGTAAGATATATATTTTATATGTAAGATATATATTTTATATGCAAGTTGTATATTGTATATGTAAGATATATATTTTATATGCAAGTTGTATATTGTATATGTAAGATATATATTGTGTATGTAAGATATATATTGTATATGTAAGATATATATACTTAGTGTCTCATAAGACATGTTGTACTCATTGTACTCGCCCCCACCCTTTTATGACACTTATGATTTTTTTATGTATTACAATGCTTGACACTCTAATAAAACTAATCATCTTTAAATTTTTCCCCTTAAATATAAATGGTCGAACTCGAAATTACTTACAAAATATCCTTCGAGAGGAAATAATCTGCTAATATCCTGACGATCTGTGATATTGGAATTTGCAAAAGTGTATACGTATTTGTTGTCGGTATAATTATCACATTGTTGGGTTTGCAATGATATGATAAAGAAAGGTATGATAACACTAGAGATGTTATCGTTACCATTACTGATAGACTAGACTAGTGTATTAAGCATGTTTGTGCTTCTTTCGACCTGTCATCGTAATCCACTGCTTCTTGTCACACAATATCCCATCTTATCTACACTTTTTGTCCAGCCATATTCCCAATCTCGTCATCACGATCCACATCTCAGACGTTCTAAGACAATATTATTACAACCTCCCCACCCATTTCTGCCACCATCCTTCTGACAGGTCTTGGCAGGTCCAGCGCCACGCTGGTGGTGTTGATAGTCGGGATTAGACGCAGCCATTCTGTCTCCAATTAAATTAATTATTATTTCAATCGCTGTGTCTGTTGTAAACATTTCCACACATACATGATGAAGTATTATTGGATGTTAAGATGAGCGATTAACGATGTATTGTGTAACAGATGGTTGTAAAAATATTGATTTATTATCGATTCTTTTCAGTTAGACCTCCGTGCGCAGAGTGAATCGCTGACGCGGCAGATGTGGTTGTTGTATGCAACATTTGAAGACGTCATTTGTATCAATCATCCACACCGTGCAGCAGCACTGTTGGCGACATCAGTGGACATCGATCACTACCTGCATCGTCCTGTAGGCGGAAGAAATTGCCCACCCGTTAGTGAAGATAAGAAGACGGGGATAAGAAGCAGGAAAGATAACGCTCTTAGAAGGAAGAGGATAATTGGGTGTGATCATCAAGGCTTGAAAGACCCAGTGGGGTGCTATCCGTCTAACGTTTGCCGCTCTGATAAGTGTGTTGCTTGCAGATGTGGTTCTAAGCTGAATCAACAGTCGTCGAAAGGGTCTTGTTTAGATCGGCAACAGATTGCCAGCGTAGGACTAGTTTCATTGGACGTGTCTGTGTCTTACAGAACAGATTTTGAAAATAACGATCAATCAAGTTGTTTAGTTGGATGTAAAGGGTTTGGTGTGGATGGACATTTTCCTAACTTGGGACACGTGGAGTGGACAAAGGGGGTGATACGACGCCGGACAGTGGGTAGAGGTTCGTGTAAAGTGACAGGTGATACTACAAGTAGGTTCTTCGCACAGAACCCTAAAACAAATGACCTCGACCGTGGGCGTGTTATCAATGACCCACTGAACAATAGGAACACCGGACTGTTCCTGGACAAAGAGAGTAAGGTTATCCGACACTCAGCGCTAATGCGATCGGTCAGCGCAAAGAGGACTGGCCAATTTATGGCTGGCAGCTCATTGGTCAGTCGAGCAAATCGCCACGGTCTATCAAGTCACGCTTCATTAAATGTCGATTCAGACAGGGGATTTGAATCGGCTAAAGAACTAAATCGTCACACTTTCAACAACCACAGCGACGAGATGAACGCTGGCCCAGTGGCTGTCCAGCCTAGCGCTTGGTGCCCCAGGAATGATTATAGTCTGGCAAGAGCCGTACCCGGTCACAGAGTGATCCAGCCAGTGTCCCGCTCACCTACTAGTCCCGAGTGGAGCAGACGACCCGTCCAAACAGAACGAGTTGCAGCAAAGGGGCAGAGCAGCTACATGCATCAGATAAAACAAACCAGTCCGGGTTACCAGTCGGATATGTTGTCAGTGATCACCCAGACGGGTTATACTCGTCAGGTGCATAACAGACCTGACACTATTTACAGATCGGAGCGCGCTGGACGCAGAATGAATGAGTGTAGGTCTGGGAGGAAGTCGAGCCCGATAGCAGACGACACACAACTGTCACCAGTGACTATATCAAGCGGGTATGAGAGCGACTCGATCCCGTCTCCAGTACAACCCGAGTTGGACAAGTTTAGGAGCTGTGTCAACACGGACGATGACCATACAGACTATTTCTCTCAATCGGACACTTACCCAAAGTCAGTTACACGGGATATTCAAACGCAACAGGCCCCATCTGGAACATTGCCATTGAAGGTGAGATCTAAACAAGCACCCTTCGTACCAACTCTCGGTAAATCACGCTTTGTGAGATTTGGACAACATCATAATGCCATATTGCCCAGCAGTCGACCAGGACAGCCCTCTTCAGTCTGCCTTAAGCAGAGTCACAAGTTGGCTAAAGTGACGAGATCTATGTATGCGATTATTCATGATCTTCAACACGAGAATGCCTCGAGGAAGATGAGACGACACTCTTGTGACGCAGTTAAGGAAAACCGTGAGTGTAGATGCGAGGGTGGGAGAGTGTCTATGTCTCCCATATTCAGCCCCGAACTTCGATCCAGGGCAGATGTGCTTGTAACTCAAAGCGAATCTGAAGAAAATCTGCACGTGAGATACCAAGACACAAAAGCAGACGACACCCCCACACGGACCGACTCGTCGTTAAACGACTCGAGCTTTGTTTCATCCAATGAACGCTACTCCCAAATCAGGAAGCAACAATGTGCTATGTCAGGGGTAACGCAAAGGTTATTCAATATGGATATGCGAGAACAGAGTGCTTTTAAAGATGATAACATTAAACCAGCTGATCGAGCAGACGATAACCACCGGCTTGATCAGGTCATGCGTGGGTCGCCACGACAGGGAGCAAAATACTCTAAAACCAGCGAAGCGCAAAGTGACAATGAACATATATACGAAGTTATTCCGGGTGACGAAAGCGTGATTAGCACACAAGGCTTGGTATCGTGTGAAAACACCAAGCTCGCACTGGCTAAATGGACGACCGTGGGTAACCTCGAGACGTCCCCAGAGATCCCACCGGCCTTGCCAGAGAGAAAATACACGGGAAAGAAAATGGACCCTCCTATCCCTCCAAGGTGTGTGAAAGTGTGTAATAACAGTGTTTCAAACAGAGGGGAGCGTTCCCTCGTTATGTGTGATTCCTCAAACCAGGACTATGCAATTGTGTGTAAAACGAAGTCGTTCGACAACGTGTCTCTTGATGGTTACTTGGGTCGGATAGACGACTGTGACGTGTTGTCCGACTTAGACAGTGAGTTGTATGCCCGCGTGTGCCCCCCTCAACCCAGACAGAGGAACACTTTTGATTTTTCTGATCTTACTTCAGAGACATACTGTCGTCTGGACCCCGTGAAGCAGGTCCAGGAAATTGACCAGTGGTCATCGGGAGACGTCCTCAACTTCATCGATGGCATCCACGAACATCACAACCCTAAAACCAGGGCGAATATCTACACCCTGCTCCAAAACAGCAAAACAAGAGCCAAATTTTCCGAGTCACTGGAAATAGAAACCCAGTTATTACATAAAGGATTGTTATGTAACCCTTGGAGAGAGGTCAGTGATGACGTCACAGAGCCGATGACGTCAGAGGCATTCCAACGCGATTTCCGGCACGAGATTCAGCCAACCTATGTGTAAACTATAGCTGTGTTGATATCATGTGTATTGACTGTGATAAACGGACCATTCCTTGAATCCATCCACGTATCATGGAGTAAACTCACAAATATGACTTGTGGCATTTGAAGATGAATTGCCTGTGCTAGTATTTATTGTTATTGACTGCGTATTCCATGATCCACCTCTGGGACTTATAATCCATAATTATCATATAATCAATTGACACTGGTCGTGACAGCGACCTCATGTGATTGGTTGGTGTTAATGTCATTGAATTAGATACAGTTGAGAGATCTCATATACATCACCTCTGGTATGAATGGTGAAGCCACTGGGGAAACGGGTGTACATATCATCTCTGAATGATTGTACCCGCTGAATGATCTGATGTGTTTATCATCTCTGAATGATTGTACCCGCTGAATGATCTGATGTGCATATCATCTTTGAATGATTGTACCCGCTGAATGATCTGATGTGTATATCATCTTTGAATGATTGTACCCGCTGAATGAACTGATGTGCATATCATCTCTGAATGATTGTACCCACTGAATGATGTGATGTGCATATCATCCTTGGTATGAATTGTGTACCCACCGAATGATGTGATGTACATATAATTCTTGGTGTGAATGGTGTGCTCGTTGTATGATCTGATGTACATATCGTCGGATATCATTTGGTCTCTGATATCATGGATGAATGTGAAACCGCTGAATGATATCACGTGTATGGGTGCCTGGACTGTAAAGAGAGACATTTTGTATGATCTGTTTTTAATGCTCAGTAAACAATACTTTCATAGACATGTGTTGTATTCATTATATTTGCCCGGCACTGCGACATTCAGACTGGAAAGCGCCTTCAGACTTTACCTTTGGCTGAATAACATCAAATGATGTATTTTATGGCTATTTAATACCTGACATGGATATTACGCCTAGGTGTGCCTTTCTTCGTGAAAAGAGGATCAGGTGGCCACAATGTGCGCTCTGGGTGGACATCTCATCTACCCGATCACAGGAATATTGACTACGTCGTAAACATCCTTTCACTTATAAGTGAGAACATCGTTTACGCGCTTTCATAACTCCATCACGATATCAGCGCACCTGAAAAATGGCCTTCTCACATTGTGCCCAATTTCGGGAATAGAACCTGGTCTTCGGCGTGACGAGCGACCGCTTTAACCACGAAGCTACCGACCAACCCCTAATTGAGAGGTATAATGATACATTCTGAAGGGGTGTCATACACTCTGTTGTTTCATCAACCCATTACGAAGATGATCTTAATAACAATAACAATAATAATAATAATAATAATTGCATTCATAATGCACAAGATTCCATTCACCAAGTGGATGCTCATAGCGCTACACTATTATTACCCCGGTCAATGGATCAGTGTGCACTCGAATTTCATTCTCAGCTCCCTGGGGAGCATACAACCCAAGCTGCCCGCGAGGCGTCAGAAGGTTAACAACCTCATTACCGGGTACCAACTCACTGCTGGGTGCATGAACAGAGACACATTTCGAAAAGTGTACCTCGCTTTAGGAGACACCACATGTGGTACACGTGCTTCAGTGTGGGGCAGGAACGAAGCCATAGAAACTCTCAGGAACAACACCCAGGAGATAAATATTATGTGTTTTCAAATTTAGGGTCGTATTTTAATACTGATGCCAGAAAGTATCATTTGTTGTATGGCGTTATCCACGTTTTTCAACTATTCGGGTTGCAGTCCACATTTTAATCCATTTTAGATCTCATTACGGCCGGGGTCGCTAAGACGAATTGTCTTCTTTCTCGGATCCCAGTAATATAAATGTGTATGTTTACAAGAGGGACATAAACACGGCGATGTACATGGGTTAGCCTCTCTCTCTAGTGCTCAGTGATGGGAGATAGATTGACATGCTGATACACTAAGGAGACGGGGGGCAGGTGGCGAGATTCCTGTACCGTGAGAACCATGCTGTGCTTGTGTACTTAGTTTCAACTGTACATTCACTGTACATTTCTCTATCACCCGTGTTCATATCACAGGAGCTGGTGTTTGTTGTTTGTATATTGTGAACTATGGTTTCAAACACCTTTTGTTGGGGGAGGGGGTTATTACAGGCTTAAGCTTACTTTCCCTGTTGGATTATCCACCTGTTCAGCAGGTACTGGCCCTGGGCTTATAATCTAAAGGCGGTTAACAGTTTATGGTTTCATAACGGGTTAAGTCACATCGTGAAAGCCTTTTATGTCAATTATATTCTTGTGAAATCACTGCATTCACATATGTTTAGAGGGAGCGGGCGGCAAGTTGTTGAGGGCACGGCAATTACTGTGCAGAGTTACGTCCCTTAGGCATGTCCGGATCATGTAATCGTAGGTTCGAATCCTAGATTAACCCTGATTATATTTGGTTTCTTAGCATGTCCGTGCTGGCATGTTTCAACAAAGTGTTAAACGTCCAAGACAGACCAGTATTACCTCGAGTCGTCCCCCACAACAAGCTGACACGCCGTGATATTACTGACATACTGTTCCAAGTGACGTTAAACCCAACTTACATTTTTCGCTAACCAAGTAATTGTGTTGAACGCTCCTGTAATTATTATCGACAAAGATAATCTCTTTCGATGTTATATACGTGTTACACTTAATAACGAAAACTAACCGAAGAGAAAGCACGGACATTCAAGCCAAATCGACATACTTTGGTTATCTATTCCAATTTATGATACTTGCGCATTTTATAGCTTTGTTTGTTTGTTTGTTTGTTTGTATGTTGTTTAACGCCGATATGTGACGGCGGTCTGTAAATAATCGAGTCTGGACCAGACAATCCTGTGATTGATATCAAGAACATCGATCTACGCATTTGGGAAACGATGACATGCATCCACCAAGTTAGCGAGCCTGACCACCCGATCCTGTTAGTCGCCTCTTACGATAAGAATAGTCACCTGTTATGGCAAGCATGGGTTGTTGAAGACCTCTTCTACCCCGGATCTTCACGGACAGCATTTATAGCGACTACGGTAGGATGTACATCAGAGTTATCATATCACAGCCACATCATGGATGGCTTCACACAGTGTACCCATGCGGGGAATCGAACCCGGGGTTGACGAGCCAACGCTTGTACCACTCGGCTACCCAACCGCCCTTTCAGGACCGCAAACTTTCTTACCCTTGTAGTTTAACATAGATACGACAGTCGCAAGGCTACCATCGCTTTGTTGGAGCCTGACCTCGAATTTACCCACACCAGATATGTCTGTGCAGTATACAGCAGGCCCATGACCCTGACTGTGTTATAACGTCTATTTATCATACCTATTGCAAGGCTTATGTCGAAGCATCCGAACTCATTCGTGACCTTAGAACCTCCTTAGCGCGCCCTCCTGTACTAGGGTGGCCTCAAACCTAACCCTTCTAAATCCCCACACTGTTAGTCACATAGCCCTGGGCATATATTCGATGCTCTGTGGTAGCGATATCTCAAGTAGCCTGAAACACTGAAACTCTTATCTCTATCGCCGTGATGCTGTATATTTCAAAACAGTTAACCGATCGCATTCCGAGAACGATGATAGTCCCGGGACTAGGTCGTACGATGGAGGTTCGAGTCAATGAAGCTTAGCGTAAGAAGCAGTTCAAAAGTTCGAAGTCGGATAAACATCATAATTCCTCCCCCCACGGTTGTGTGTGTCCGGAGGGGAAGGGGAGGTTAAATCAACTTTTTACAAATTCTTTCTTTAATTAAAGTAAATAAAATACAGCTTAAATAGTCACATATTACTCGGAAAATATATAGTATCACTATCCAAGAATAAACGATACGAAATTACAAGATCGGACCTGCCCAAGAAACACTTTTGGTGGTTTGGTGTTGGTGTTACTCGACAACTTCTATGGATGGGATTCGCTGTGCAAAGGTGCGGCCATTTGGGCACGCCAGAAACCTATGATTGTGGGTTCGAATCCCGGTTCGCCCTGATAATGTTAATGTTAAATAAATAGGATTGTCAGTACCATACCCGTGCTCGTGGGTTTCACCTAAGTGGTAAACGTCTGATACCTGCATCACTTGGGGCTTTCCTCCCACATTAAGCTGACACGCCTCGATATAACTGGAATACTGTTAAAAGCGGCGTTAAACCCAACTCACTCACTCGTTTTGTCCGTATGACAACTGGGCATATTTTTAAGGAAGTTTGAAGCATGCAACGTGAAGCCGGACACCGCTCCCAAGAGCACGACCCCATCGTCTGCACGTACCTGGGGAGGCCTGACCAGCCGAGCTACCTGACTCTCCCCGGCCAGTCTCCCGTCATGTAACCTGTTACCAAATAGTAAATGAGATCCCTGGCAGCTACGATTCTGGCTGTACGCGAGTTGCCCATTAATCTGGCTTACTGTCGGACTGTAGATATGTGCCTCTCACCCTTGGGGCAAACGAGATCAAACAGCATGCTTATCTATCTAATCAATTTTTGAGATGAGAGTTCGTGAGTAGTGACTGTGTGGGAGGTCGGGTGGGTGTGTGGGTGGATGGATGAACGAGTGGGTGGATGGATGAACGAGTGGGTGGATGGATGAACGAGTGGGTGGATGGATGAACGAGTGGGTGGATGGATGAAAGAGTGGGTGGATGGATGAACGAGTGGGTGGATGGATGAACGAGTGGGCGAGCCTATGGGGTTTTACGCTAAGGTCAGCAATATTACAGGTTTATCAGAACCAGAATTTTGTAATCTCGCCTACAAACACCTGAAACATGTAATCAAAGACAAACTAGTGGTCAATGTCATTAGCACCGATTTGCGTCCTCAAAGAACGAGTGAGTGAGTGAGTATGGTTTTACGCCGCTTGTAGCAATATTCCAGCAATATCACGACGGGGGACACCAGTAATGGGATTAACACATTGTACCCATGTCGGGAATCGAACCAGGGCGAATGCTTTAACCACTACGTCTTACTACCTAGTTACGTCTTCTCAAGTGGACAACACAATATATCCGTGAACTGTGGGGTCCAGTTATGTATTCTCAAGTCCCACACGACCCCCGTGAAGATCCGAGTTGGAATAGCTCTTCAGCAGCCAATGCTTGTCGTAAGAGGTGACTGACGGCCTCGGGTGGTCAGACTCGCTGACTTGATTGATGCATGTCATCGTGTCCAAATTGCGTGGATCGATGCTCATGATATTAATCACTGGATTAACTGGTCCAGAATCGATTATTTACAGACCGCCGTCATATAGCTGGAATATTGCTGAGGGCGGCGTTAAACAACAAACAGACAAACAAAGTACAACAAACAGACAAACAAAGTCCCACACGATCCGCGGGACCCTATTTAAGTAACCGTCAATATAGTTATGCAGATCTGTTTTATCCCAGTTGGCTGACATAATGTTCCCGTAATAACGTATAAGGTTAAATAAAAACAATTTTAGGAAGGAAACCTTGATCATTCAGAAACCATCGCCTAGGTTCTAAAGATCTGTCCAGAGCCGAAAAGGGGACGATTATCGTCTACTGGAGCAGAATATTGGGATGAGAACAGAATGTTGATCACGGTTACAACATTCAAGGCCTCAGTAATGATTCCAAATGCAAATATGTAGTCATGTGGAGCACATTTCTAAACTTGACACATTAGTGACAAAAATTATGTACGATGCAATTTCCTATTTTGACTTTACCATATGTTCCCGTGTTTTTTCAGGTGAACAGTTGACTTACCTTTGCGTGTGTTTGTGACGGATGCCATCGGTTTGGCAGGATACGCTCACC